TGTCTCAGATCCCATGAGATAAGCAAAACAATCTCTATGCTACTGTGGAACAGAAACAAAATATGATAGGATTTTCTGATGACTCTGAGGAGTTGAATGGCTCCTATGGGACTGCCAAGTTAATTAAAATGAACATAGGATTACTATAGTCTATTATGGCACAATTATGCTCTTCCCTCCTTTTTTGTTCCCTCCTTAAAGACTTTACAATAGAGGTCAAAGTGAGAAAAATAAATGACAATTTTTCTAGTCATGCTTTTGAATGGGATGTGTTCCACTAAATCTAACGGGACCTGAGTGTGCTAGGTTGGAATTCCTCAGTGACCACCACCTCATGTATAAGGGGAGAGAAGAACTAGAAAGAAATGGCGATGAACTACTTGTAATCACAACTGCTCTAGGTGTACTTACCTTATACTTAGACCTGCAGAACAAGCAGAGACAAAATGGTCAATTGATGAAGTGGTAGAGAAAGTAGGAGAGACAACATCCTGAGATTGATATACAAAGACTGGGCACATAATGGGTTTCTTTCTTTAAAAATACTTCATTTAAACTATACTCCAACTGTCTATCTAGCATTTGTAATTGTCCACACACACAGACATGCAACATTCCTAATAAATGAGAGAATGTCTTTCATTTAGGTGGGATGCTTGATGTATAGCAAACATAGGATTTGAACACACAACTTTCTTTACCTTTTGACATCATGTTGCCACTGGTACTTCCCCGGTAGCTCAGTGGCAAAGAATCTGCCTGCAATACAGGACGAGAGAAGATGTCAGTTCCATCCCTGGATTGGGAAGAACCCCTGAAGAAGGGCATGGAAACCCACTCCAGTATTCTAGTATTCTTGCTTGGAGAATCCCATGTACAGAGGAGCCTGATGTTCTACAATCCATAGTGTCACGAAGAGTCAGACACAACTGAAGTGACTGAGCACACACACATGTCCATTGTGCCTCGAGTGTGATGGCCACTCGTTCTCCATCCATGTTTAATTACACCCTACCCATCAGTTCTCTCTCGGAACCATAACTGAGCATAACCTGGTTTTTGTGGGTCAGTGTTAAAGGCTATACACCTTTCAAAGCCATCATATCAGAGAGTTTACAGCCAAACACCATGTCAGTTGAAGTCTTTTTAGTTCCAGGCATCAGAAAAATGGGCTCAAGTAGGGCAAATAATGAAATTAATTTAGGATTACTACTTAGGCACACATAATTATTTTTTTACACATAATTATTATAATGAATAACATCCAGTAAGCCTTGACTCACTAGCTCAATGACATCTCCAAGGACTTGGCTTTCTCCATCTTTTGTCTTTATCTTCTACAGTATCCATTTCATTCCAAAACCTATCCCTTCAATATTTCAAGGAAGAAACCAGGAAATCCAGAAATAACATGGTTCTTCTTTCACAATGAACAGTAAAGGGATCAGCTTCAACCAAACTATCTTGACACACCTCCTCAACTGCATTTTAATTATACAGTCTTATATCCCATGCCCAACCCTGAAAATCAACTCTTGTCATCAAGGTATTGAATAGACACTTGTTCTAGCCCCAGTCTTATTCTTTAGTCTTAAAGTATGGGAAAAGTCAATTTCTTGGAAACCGTGTGAAATCACAAATAAAAACCAGCTGCTACCAAGCAGAAAAAAGGGGATGGATGCTGCAGAAACATATCAATCAAAATAGGGTAGATTATTTTGTGATAACAAATGATCCCCAGATCTCAGTAGCCTAAAACAACAAAAGTTCATTTGTGCTATTCTTTCATCATTGCCAGCTGGGCATTCTGCTCTATGTCATCACTGCTTTCCAGGACCCAGTTTATAGAACAGGCGCTTTCTGGACTTTTGACAAATAGATTAGAAGAGGGAGGAGAGAATATGAGGACATATACACTCACTTTTAAAGAGTCTCCACATCAATTTTGATTGAATGTCAAAAACAGGTGACAAGGCCACAAAGGAGGAGAGAAACTGCATGTTCATGGAAGGGAAGGGTTAAAATATTTGTGAGAAGCCTTCATAAATATTCTAAGAAACAACCAACAAGTAGCCATCATATCTATCCTGAATTAGAGAAAAAGTTTAAACACCACAAAAGTATTTAAAGAGGATGATGTTATAAACTTGAAGAATTAGGGCCTCTTTAGCTTCAGTGGTAAAGAAACCACCTGTAATGCAGGAGGCGTGGCAGGAGCCATGTGTTCAGTCCTGGGGTCAGGAAGATCCCCTGAAAGAAGAAATGGCAACACACTCCAGTATTCTTGCCTGGAGAATTCTACAGACAGAGGAGCCTGGCAGGCTACAGTCCAGGGGGTTACAAAGAGTCAGACACAACTAAGCAACAACAGCAGCTGGGAAAGATGTTGAATTGCTATCAGGTGCTCCCTTAATTCTTATCCCTTCACTGATATTTCCATTGCATAATAATAGCTCTATCACAAAGTTTATAGCAGGAGAATCAACTAGAATAAAGAAAATGCATGGAGTTAGCAACAATACAGTTACAATTATTACTTTATATAATTTTATGTATTTTAAGGAAGATGAGAGAAGAAACCACAAGTACATATAGAGACAGCTTATTATATTAAGCTTTATAATTAGAAAAAAAGAAAATATATGGAGTTAAGATTAGATCATAAAGACATTCTATCTTCTGTTGTATGCCCAGGCAGTATATTCAAGGACCTGAATGACATCCCTTTAGAACTCACAAGCATTGCATTTACTCAAAAGCTAATGGGAGAGATATGATCAGAAGAAAGCTGAGGCTAATTTTAACTTTAACTTGAAACCACCAGTGATTTAAGAAGCTTATTTGGATGCTATCAGAGTGCACTGTCATAGCCACCCCCCGCCCCCCCGGCATTTTTTGTCTTTTCTAACAAGAACAAACAAAAAACTGAACAGAAAAAACCTTTTGTGATGCCTCAACCAGAAAAATGTACGCTCTGTAATTCTGATTTAAAAATCAATCTCAAAAAGTCATTGAGAGAATAAATAACAATAAAAGAGAAACAGAATGGCCTAATAGAAAAAGAGGAGTTCTGAAAGACCCAAAAAAGAAGTTTGATGGGTGGTCTCTATGAGATTAATGGACAAAAAAAAAAATCAAAACTCAATCCATTCTTCCTTTAGAAATAAGCAAAAATGCCTTCACAAGAAAACTTTGTTTTCAGTGTTAGTTTTTCTTTTAGCAAAGGGAAATGAGAATCTTAAGGACTAATGGAAAACCCATCCCTAGAATGATGTCACACAATATTATGAAGCAGGAAAAGCAATGATCAAAGGGTCTTCCCATGTGTACATGACACATTTGGCATTTTAAAGAGTTTGATCATCTAACTCTGAGATTTTTCTTTAATAATCTCTATCCAATTAACTGTGATAGCTTCTTCGAGGCTAGGAAAAGTACTGTATCAAACTTAAGCATTTAAAAGCTATTCCTTATTTTATTAAGTAAATATGTGGTACATTTCAACCACACACAGTCTAGGAGCTGGGAACAGAATGGGAACAGTATGGACAGGAGTAAACTTTCATAAACTCCTTTCTTATGTAAGTAAAGGTCCACTTTAGCTAAGGTCAGCGCATGGCTGTGGGGATGAAACGCATGGAAATCACAAAGTCAGTATTCATCTTAGAACCACTGAAAATCATAAAACAGAGCAGAAAAAGAAGAAATATCAAAGGCCCTAGGAGGCAGGATGTGCAGACACGAGCAAGGAAGCAAAAGAATAGTGAGAGTAAATGATTACATCAGGCTGATTGAGAGCCTTGAACAATTCTACCTTTCATATAACAGCTCAGTTAAATCTGAAAAGAAGGGTTTGAGGTGTGCTTTTATTATCCCTACTTCACAAATGAGAAAACAAGCACGAAGACATGTAAACTAAGTGACTTAACCAAAATCACATCCCTCAGCCTAGATCCAGAATCTGTGCTCTGAACCACATGTGGTCACTGACAAAACCAAAACAGAGCAAATAGTTCATTTTCCATTCCTAAAAGTTGGACAATGTTAACCTTGGAGAGACTACTAAGAACATAAAGCAGTTTTTTTGTTTGTTTTTTAAATTTATGAATGCTGGTATCAACTCGCCTGCATAGGAATAAATAAATCATTTATTTCTGGAAAGACATTTTTGCCAACAAGGGTCCGTCTAGTCAAAGCTATGTTTTTTCCAGTAGTCAAGTATGGATGAGAGAACTGGACTATAAAGAAAGCAAAGCACCAAAGAATTGATGCTTCTGAACTGTGGTGTTGGAGAAGACTCTTGAGAGTCCCTTGAACTCCAAGGAGATCCAACCAGTCCATCCTAAAGGAAATCAGTCCTGAATATTCATTGGAAGGACTGATGCTGAAGCTGAAACTCCATTACTTTGGACACCTGATGCAAAGAACTGACTCCTTGGAAAAGACCTTATGCTGGGAAAGATTGAAGGCAGGCAGAGAAGGGGATGACAGAGGATGAGATGGTTGGATGGCATGATGTCTCAATGGACATGAGTTTGAGCAAGCTCTAGGAGCTGGTGAAGGACAGGGAAGGCTGGAATGCTGCAGTCCGTGGGGTTGCAAAGAGTCAGACACAACTGAGAGATTGAACTGAACTGAACTGATAAGCACCAGAGATTAAAAAGAGTCACATTCACATTAGACTAATTCCAAAAACTTTAAGAACACAAGTTATTCTGTAGTAGAGATCAAGTATCTTCATGTTGTTAAAGGATGTGTCAACATGGAATAATGATTATACAATAAATTAATACAAAAATGGATGAATTATAAATATGTGTTCAGTTTTTCTTTTCAAACTTCTATTTTCTTAAGTTCTTACTGGTATTCTTCGAAGAAGAATCAGGAATTTTTTAATGAAGCACAAAAACAAAATAATTATACAATTCCTAAAAGAATTCAGAATGTCTTAAGGATACATATCAGGATATACCATACAGTTTGCTTCCCCCTACCTTACATGGGACTGGAGAATGGGACATTCATTGCAATGGAAACTCATTGGTAGGATTCATCAGATGAACTCAGTGTTTCTAACTGAACATGTTTCCCTGGGCATACTGAATTATTTTTATAAGCTTTGCTCTATCTTCGGTGCTCAAGCCCTGTGACCAAAACAAAATAAAACAAACGAAAAACCCAGATAGATAATTAGAGAAAATTTTGACTTTCTTTATTCAGGTCTTAGTTACCATATGTGGGGTCTAGTTCCCTGATCAGGGATTGAACCCAGGCCCCCTGCACTGGGAGCCTGGAGTCTTAGCTACTGGACTAAAAGGGAAGGCCTGAAATTTTTGGTTTTAGGCATAGCCAATGGTGTGTATTTATTCAACTGTTTCAATTAACTAAGAGCACAAGTTTCCCAAAAACTCTCAGTTTGTTTTGCTACATAAAATACAGGATGCTCAACTAAATCTGAATTCCAGATAAATAATAAATGAATTTTAGTATAAGTATGTCCAAAGCATTGTATGTGTTTGGTCTTTTCCCTCTTATCTGGCAAGTCTGTCACCAAGGTCTAAGAAGCAGGGGTTGCCCTGGGAGAATGCTGCAGCACCAGACACATGTATCAGCCTATAAACTGGTTCTGCTACCCTGAGTAAGTTGCCTTGTCCCACTCAACCTCAGTTTCCTTATTGGAAAAGACAGAGGAGTTAGACTACTTGAATTCTGAGGACCCGTTCTTCTGTACGTTTGATAGATTCCACTAGTCTCTAACAGTCTGGACTACATGCAAAGGAAAGAAGAATGATGTCATTGTTTGTAAAATGTCCTGTGAGGCAGAGAAATAAATTATGAACCATTCACTTATTATCATTCTCTCCAAGAAGAGGAGAAAAAGAACAACAGCAGCTGCAAATTAGACAAATGATGAGGGCAGGACACAGCTGTCTTCTGGAGATTTTCAACTACATAAAAGAGTGTGACCTGGGGTGTGCTCCTCTCAGAAAGATTCCTGCTGTTCTCCTTGGAGGTTACCATTTGTCCCACCCACAGGGTTCCAAAATTAAGAATCAGCCTCTTTTATGAGGAAAAATAATTCTAATATATTTATAAGAAGCTAAGATACACAAAGCTGTGAGAAAAATGCTTTTAAAATTATGTTTGCATTCATTTAGGGGATAGAATGCTGAATGTAACTATTTTAGCTCAAGAAGTTTTCTGGGCTCAGTTTTTGCTATAAAAGAATTACTTTTTGTGGAGTAGTAGACAGAGGCAGGATACAAAGGTACAGCTGTGCCATTGCCATTTGTCTAACTTGGCAAGACTAATTCATACACCTCATACCACTTTCCCTGAGAGCTCTATATGAAGGATTATCCCAGTCCCTTCATTGCTCCATTGTTCTTAATTGCTCAGTATTTCCTGTTCTGGCTTGAAGTAAATCAGAAATGTAAAGACTTACATGGAATATATGTGTGAACAGAATACCAGCTATTCTTCTTTTCCTGGGAATTAAAAATACAGTTCTTCAGTTTCTATATTGTGAGCACCACTTCATTCCAAAGAAGGATAAAAACACAAAGCTACTTCCCACTGTGGCAAGAGATTCTGGAAAATCTTTTCATAACAAGACCATGAACACAAGAATATAGGGCTAATTTGGGAAAAGCCACCACATAACATAAGAGAAATCCTGTGAATTTTTTGGTTGGGAGTATGTCACAAGCCAACACAGATGTTCCCTGGGTTAAGTGGACTTTTCCTCCAGGAATTCCAATTTTTTTTTTTTTCCCCATGAAAGGAAGTCCAGGAGAACCATGAATGTGATTCTCTACCGTGAAAAGTTCCACAACTGCTATGCCTAATCACAGTAGAATTAAAAATTTAGAGAGAGGAGGCTGACAGGGTTTACTAGCCCCTGAGGACTAAACTGTTTTGCCATGATCTATACTGTGCTAAGTCGCTTCAGTCCTGTCCAACTGTTTTCAGCCCCATGGACTGTAGCCTGCCAGGCTCCTCCATACATGGGATTTCCCAGGCAAGAACACTGGAATGGGTTGCCACTTCCTTCTCCAGGGGATCTTCCCAACCCAGAGATCAAACCTGGATCTCCTGCATTGCAGGCAGATTCTTTACCATCTCAGCCACCAGGGAAGGCCCTGTACAATTAGAGGATTCTAATTCCACCTAATCTTGTAGGCTGCCCTGAAAATCTTCTGTAAACCTTCAACTCTCTTTGTTATTTCCTGGGTCACATATACAGGGCAGTGAGCAGGATGGAATCAGAAAATATAATTCTCAGCCAAAATTTTCCCATCGTGATGCTACTGACATTTGGGGCAGTAACCTTCTTTGCAGTAACTGTCCTGCAATACCACAGAAAGCTAAACACTACACACCTGGGATCTACACAGCAGTGACGGTAGCACATCACCCCTTAGTCGTAACAACCAAAAATGTCTTCAGACACTTCCACATGTCTCCACGGAGAAGGCAACAGAAAATTGATCATGTTTCATCCATGAAAGGAGGTGCTTAGGCTCACAGGGTGGGATTTAGACTATGATAAAATAAAGCCCAGAAATATTAATATATGAAAGGTGTCTATATTTCTTCTGTGTTGTACCATTCTCATCTTGATAAAGACAACCTCACATAAACTGTACAGCTTAGTGGGGCACCATAATCATTTAAGGTAAACAAAACCTATTGACTGTAAATGTTGCTTTTCTGTCTTCAGACGAACAATATTTTGAAAGTTGCCTTCTTGACTATTCAGTCACAATAGGATCTATACCTCTCAAAAACCCCACAGTTTTCAACTTACAACAGATTTCCTTAATTGGCCTATATATTCCTTTAAGATCTTGTCCCTGGATACCCTACAAGCCTCCTCTCCTCTTTCTACCCCATGTGTATTCTCAAAATTATCTGTGTTATTACAGCGGCCCGTTTCTAAGTCTGGATTGCATGTCTCTCTGATGAAACTGTGAGCTCACTGAACATAGACCCTGTATGTTTCTCCTTTTCTTTTAAACACTAAGCATAGTTCCAGCACAGTAAAGTCCACTAATTCTTTTAGATTTTTTTTATGTGGACCATTTACAAAGTCTTTATTGAATTTGTTACAATATTGCTTCTATTTCATGTTTTGGTATTGTTTGCCATGAGGCATGTGGGATCGTAGTTCCCCAACCAGGAATCAAACCCACGTCCCCTGCATTGGAAGGCAAAGTCTTAACCACTGGACTGCCAGGGAAGTTTCCACTATTTCTTTTAAAGGATGAAATAAAATAATAGTATTTCTTTAAAAACTCTTAAATGGCATTTCTACTTTCTTACAAATCATCTACTCCTTCAGTCACCTCCTCTTTATAGTCAAAATCATTGGGTTGGCCAACCAAATAGATATAGAATTGACTCAAAGAGTAAGTTTTTTATTTTTGCCCTGGAAATAGAGAACTTCGGTTACATATCCGAAGATTTAAATGGGGTTCTTATGCATTTATTATCCTGCTTATTATTAGTTTTTCAACAGAAGGATCTGTTGTGTAATGATTAAGAGATAAAAAGTGAAAGGAGATGCTATGCCTAGGGTCTCAACTTCTTTAAAACATTCCCATAATTAAGTGGTTTGCATGTGTTGATGGAAAAAGAAGGTAGAGTAGGTCAACCAAACAAAAACAGCAAGAAAATTGTATTTCTTTTGGATATAGCAGGAAAATCATTATGGAAAATTAAAACATTTCAGTAATTCATCAAGATATAATTCTTTTCTCTCCTTCCGTTTTTTTGTGTGTGTGTGTGGGGGGGGGCGGTGGCAAGGAGGGTTCCCTCTCAGCTACAGTCCTCTATTTCAAAACCTGAGAACCAAGTTGTGACCTTAGGTGCCAGCATGGCCAGTCCTCTTCTTTACCCCAAAAAAGAGGACAGGACTTAGAAAGATTCTGGTTTTAGGAGTGAATTAAAACTTATTTCCTTTTCTTCATACCACATTAGCAAGATTTATGATAAATGAGAGAATGTACAAGGTAGTTTTTCTGTCAATTCCCTGAAGCTGTTATGAGCCTAGAAAATAATCTAAATAAAGTTCAGTGGCAATGAAAGCATGAATTGTGAAGCACAGGAATTCCAAACTAAGTCATGTTTCATCAGTCACCAAAATTAATTCTGAATTTCATGGACTCATGCAGACTGTCCAAACAAGTGTGCTGGAAGTCATGTAACACTAATACATAGGACTGAGATAAAACACCAAAGCTGCATTTATTTGCTAACTGTGTACTTTCCACTGGTCATCAATGAGAACATGAAACAAGATCTCTAGGTAAAATGACATTTGGCCTAAGAACTACTATAAAATATAGTAGGGGGTGAGGGAGTGGGTATCCTTTAATGAAGGAGTCTGCAAGCTTTTTCCTTGTAGGGCCGTATAATAAATAGTTTAGGCTTTGCAGACATATCATGTCTGAGGCAACTACTGAGTTCAGCTCTAGTAACAGGAAAGTAGCTGCACACTAACACTAACAAATTGGCTATGTTCCAATAAAATTTATTTGCAAAAACAGGTGATGGGCTAGATCTGATGGGAGGGCCACAGTTTGCTATCCACTGCTGTTTTAATGTCAGGCAACCAAGAACTGAGTGAGAGCCTGGATAAGAAGCAAGGTGGAGTTTGTTATTCTTTCCTAATTTCTCAGTAGATGCATGTTTGCATTTAATACTGCACAGTCATTAATTTAAAATGGAACCTCCAGTGACTCTGAACGGGTAATTAGTTAAAACAAGGTAAACGTGTAAAGCGTCTGTCAGTTAGCTATCTGATCTGTCTCAATCCATACATGTTAAGTCAGTGAAGGAGCAGTATTGTAATTTTCCAGAACACACAACCAGACTGCTCTGCATGCCTCTAATGAGTAAAAGCTAATTATTTTATTATCTTAACATAAACCTTCCCAAATTAAATATTTCCAGGGTTGTAAACTGTTTGCCTCCAAGCCATTTCACTTTTGAAGACAACACTCTTGGTCTCCTCAGAGTTCAAATAAAGCCTTGACATTTTTTCAGACCTTTATCCTTTTCACATTAAAAAAAAAAATAAGACTGTTTACGTTTTTCTCCTCACTGAGAAGAAGGTACAATACCATTCCTTCCTATTGCTAGAAGAGTCTAGAGGTTGTGCAACAAGTTAGAACACTTTTCATGGTTTTCCCTTTAAATCCAGCTCTAATCTCTTTAGTGCTGGCTGATTTTTATGTGTGCCTTCATAGGCCCCTCGGCCTTCCCCAGGGGCTCAGTGGGTAAAGAATCCACCTGCAACGCAGGAGACACAGAAGTGGGTTTCATCCCTAGGTTGGGAAGATCCCCTAGAGGAGGAAATGGCAACCCACTCCAAAATTCTTGCCTGAAAAATCCCATGGACAGAGGAGCCTGATGGGCTACAGTTCAAAAGGTTGCAAAGAGTCGGACATGATTGAGCAACTAACTGTGTATGCATTATATATTAGCATTTTGTCTCTTATCTATATCTATATCATTAGCTTTTTTATCCTCCAAGCTAAGTATTCCAACTGTTTTTATTGTCCTTTCCAAATTTTGGCATTACAACCTCATTTGCCTGAAACTTTTCCCTCAATTTATTTAATTCCATGGATTTAAGTTTCAGAATATATAGGCAGAGGGATAAGCCAAATAACCAAGTTTTGATCCTAAATTTTCTGATCTGTTACTGAACCTTTAAAGCCCAGGGTTTCCATATTTCTTTTTCTCTTTATTCAGAGTCAACAAAAAGCCACACTTCTCTTAAGCCATCAAGTAAAATTAAGTCCCAAGTGGCAGTCCCAAAACCATTGGTGTTCAATCCTTTCCTGTGTTTCTACAGGGGGAGGTATCAAGCCAGTTTATAATTTTCATTACCTGTATCTGATAATATGTGATCATATTCAAATGTTTTTATTATCTCAAGCTTTAAAGTACCTCTCACTCATTCTCTCTTAGACCAGTTTTTAAAAATGTCCTTTATTCTTCACAATATCCAGGCAAGCCATGTCCAATTACTACACATGCCCCCTATTCTCACCTGAAGTTTGACACCTTCAATTACTGAAAATAAACATATTCTCTTGGAACTTTGGTGGCAGAAGACAGAACAGTGACTGCAACCTGCAACAGAATGCTGGCCATAACAACTGCATTATCAAAGACAGGCTGTGTTCTCACCCACCTGATTATTTCCTCTGGGAAGAAACTGTGGCAACTGGGAATGCAGTACTAATTCCTTTACTGTGTTTTAGAGAGAAGCTTGATGGGCTCCAGGTTAGACATTTACAACTAGCTCTCTGTTTATATTTCATGGGGCATGAAGAAGTGGACTTCAGGCTGGATACAAGCAACTGTTAGCATTTCCTGAGATGACAGATAGCTGGGCTCCAGTTAAGGCATTTACAATCTGCCTCCTGTTTGCCCTCCAAAATGGAAGTAACAACAGAAATAGGGTAAAAAGTCAGTGTTTGTCTCTTGTAAACTCCTTAAGGTAACAGTCATGGCAACAGTAAAGAAATAGTCATGGCAAGGACAAAGATGGGTGACACTCTGAGTAAAGGATTAAGGGATCTCCACTACCCCCCTTTTTGGGACAAGGGAGACATTGCATATGTGCAGAAAGGCTCCTTGTGGGTCAAAATTCAGGGAATAATAACAGGCCATAATGAATCTTGCTCTTCCAGAAGCCTTCACTTTGAGATCCATTTGGCTGAGGGGTTACGTGCACATCCACTGGAGAGTTCCAGGGTGGTCAAATTTGGGAAAATAAACCAGATAACTGGTTTGACTAAAGACAAAGACCAGTAAGAACTGACCTGTATAAACGACTTAACCACCTCTTTACTGCACTCCTCCTCACTGAGGAGATGCCCACACACTTTCTCCCCAGGTGTATCTCTCTGCCTTGCCTCTGTCTTAACTAACAAATCATTTCTCTGTGTGCTCTCCTATCTGTTGTGCTATCTCTAGTAATAAACTTTGTATCTGCATTTACAGTTTCTGCCTGCATGATAAGTACATTTTTCACTGGGGAAGAAGATTCAGGGATGAACACCTTCTAGTCTCTAACCCTTGCTGGTTTGATGGCTGGGATTCCTGGTTTTCATCCAGGCTACCCAGGTTCAATTCCTGGGCATGGAATTAAAATCTAGCCTCACATAACTGCTTACTGTCAGATATTACTGAGATCAGAAATGTCATAGAGCCTTGGAATCTCCCACGTAAGCCTATATTAAAGTCTTGTTCAGATCCTCAGTTTTATTATGTGTCCTCATTTAGAGTTCTTAAGAACTGTTCACAGAAGGAAGGGAAGAAGAGGAGGAAAGGAGGAAGAAAGAAATTTATATATTTATATGAAGACAGTCTCCTTGGCACAAATCACCAACTGAATGCTTTCATTTTTTTTCTGTTTTTTTTTTTCCCCCAGGGGTGAGGGATAGGGGTGGGTGTGGATTGGGTGACTATGAGGAATAACTGGAGGGTTCCTTCGTGGTGATGCAAATGCTCTGTACCTTGCCTCGGGTGGTGGTACGCAAATCTACACTTGTAGACACACAAATCTACATGTACACTGTACCCATGTCAATGTCCTGGTGTTAATATTTTACTATCATTACATGAAACATAAGCATTGGGGAAAACTGGATGACAGATACAAGGGGCTTCTCTGTACTATTTTTGCAGATATCTGTGAGTCTATAATTATTTCACACTAATAAATTAGGGGGAAAATATCCTTCCAAGGGGACACCCAAGACCTGAGAAACTCCTCCCTCAGGTTTCTCAAACTAGAAAAGCAATATCATTCAGTATGTTTTCTTAACAGTTGCTTTAAGTTTAAAATGCATGAGCAACCACCTGGATGTTTTTTAAATTATTTCAGAAAGGAGGGCTGTGAGAGCCCCCTTGTCACAATAATCTGATGAGTGCGAGTATCTGATTGAACGAAGGATACAAATGAATATCATGGTCTTTTAAAATTTTCTCAAGATACTGTACTTTCTCAAGATACTGCACTTTTATTTCCAAGTCTTTGAATTAAGTTTTCCAAGCAAATGCCACACCTGAGTTTTTTGTTCGGTTGTTCCTGTGGTTATTTACTTGTTCATCGTCAGAAAAATTTGAGAACCCATGCAGGGGTGGGCACCAAGGAAATGTGTGAGAACATCTGTAACTTGTCTATAAGTTTAAGTAGACTGTCCTGTCTTTACTGAATGAGCAAAACTAGGTTTCTGAGAACCCAATCTTGGTTCTTCTCAAAAATCACAATGAATCATTTTTGCTTTCTAGGTAAGCAGGCTACGGACACAAACTTTAACCATTTGTGTCGTGTAGAGTGTTAAAAACTAGAGAATTAAAAGTTTTAATAAAGTTTTAAAAGAAGAAAAATTAAGAAGTTGGTTTCTGGATTTCTCAAATTCTAAGGTCTTATCAGAATTCATAAGACAATGTGGGTTTCTAGTCCACAAACGCACATTCTTCCCTGAAGGCCCAGGGGGGCCTTGGCTTTTGAAGCTGCTGCCTACTTCTCTTGACAGGCACTTTAACTAGAAAAAAAAATGCAGAAGAGGGAGAAAATTATTCTTTAACTCCTCAGGAAAGTAAAGAGACATTTGCTTTATCATTATAAATCCATTTTACCAGCTAGAGGTAGTAAAATTTAGCATTTAGTTAGCTAAAATTTAGCATACCCTTAAGAAGATGGATAGGTGGGTAGGAAGGCACTCTGGGAAGAAGTGGAAAACTGTCAGATGCATGGAAGCATAGAATGATGGTTACCAGAGCTGGAGACAGGGGAAATGGAAAGGTGATGGTCAAAGAGTACAATGTTTCAGTTATGCTAGTAACTTATGGAGATCTGCTATATAACAAATATAACTGTACATAGCTAACAATACTGTATACTCTACACTTAAAATCTGCAAAGAGTGTAGATTCCATGTTAAGTAATCTTAACATATACACACATGCACATCCATGCAAATAATAATAAAGGGTATGGTAGGAAACTTTGGAAGGAAATGGATATGCTTATGGCCTTAATGGTGGTGATGGTTTCACAGAAGCATGGACTGCAGCACGCCAGGCTACCCTGTCCTTCACCATCTCCTGGAGTTTGCTCAAACTCATGTCCATTGAGTCAGCGATGCCATCCAACCATCTCATCCTCTGTCATCCCCTTCTCCTCCTGCTCTCAATCTTTCCCAGCATCAGGGTCTTTTCCAATGAGTCGACTCTTCTCATCAGGTGACCAAAGGATCGGAGCTTCAGCATCAGTCCTTCCAATGAATATTCAGGACTGATTTCCTTTAGGATTGACAGGTTTGGTCTCCTTGCTGTCCTAGTGACTCTCAAGAGTCTTCTCTAGCACCACAGTTTGAAAGTATCTATTCTTCAGTGCTCACCTTTATGGTTCACCTCTCACATACATACATGACATCTGGAAAACCATAGCTTTGACTATATGGACCTTTGTTAGCAACGTGATATCTCTGTTTTTTAATATGCTGTCTAGGTTTGTCATAGCTTTTAAGGAGTACACGTCTTTTAATTTTCTGGCTGCAGTTGGATCCGTAGTGGTTTTGGAGCCCAAGAAAATAAAATCAGTCACTGTTTCCACTTTTCCCCCATCTATTTGCCTGAAGTGATGGGACTGGATGCCATGATTCTAGTTTTTTGAATGTTGAGTTCTAAACCAGTTTTTTCACTCTCCTCTTTCACACTCATCAAGAAGCTCTTTAGTTCCCTTTCACTTTTTGCTATTAGAGTGGTTATCATCTGAATATCTAAGGTTGTTAATATTTCTCCCCACAATCTTGATTCCAGCTTGTGAGTCATCCAGCCCAACATTTTGCATGATGTACTCAGCATATAAGTTAAATAAGCAGGGTGACAATATACAGCCTTGATGTACTCCTTTCCCAATTTTCAACCAGTCCATTATTCCATGGCCAGTTCTAACTTGGCCAACATACAGGTTTTTCAGGAGACAGGTAAGGTGGTCTGGTATTCCTATCTCTTGAAGAACTTTCCACAGTTTGTTGTGATCCACACAAAGGTCAATGAAGTAGAAGTAGAAGTACATAACTTACTGGAATTCTCTTGCTTTTTCTAAGATCCAATGGATGTTTTCAATTTGATCTCTAGTTCTTGTTCCTTTTCTAAATCTAGCTTGTACATCTGGAAGTTCTCAGTTCACATATTGTTGAAGCCTAGCTTGAAGGATTTTGAGCATTACCTTGTTAGCATGTGAAATGAGCACAAAAAATGTGTGTGTGTGTGTGTGTGTGTATACACATGTATATGGGCTTCCCACGTGGCTCAGTGGTAAAGAATCTACCTGCCAATGCAAGAGAAACAAGAGATGGTGGTTCGATCCCCCCTGAGTCAGGAAGATCCCCTGGATTAGCAAATGGCAACCAACTCCAGTATTCTTTGGAAAATTCCATGGATGGAGGAGCCCGATGGGCTACAATCCAGGGGGTTGCAAAAGAATCAGACACAACTGACTGTGAACGTACATATAAATATATACATTATGAATTTTGTGAAATGTGCTTCTATCTGTCTATTTAGTCAGGTAAGTCTTGTGTGGAGGTTACAATGTCTCTTTACTATTTTCTAGCTCATACAGTGGAGGCTATAGCATGATACTCATGCAAGTTAGATGTAGTCATTTCAAATCCAAGGTCAACCACTCATTAGCTAAATGTCCTTGAGCAAGTTATTTAAGCTCGTTAAGTCTCAGCTTCCTTTAAATAAGACCTAATGACATCTGCCCCATAAAGATTTATGAAGATTAACTATTTAAGCTTTAGCATACTGACTTGTGTAAAAAACACTCAAGAAAATTTAGGTGTTAGTTTTGTCTCTTTACTGGATGGTTGACAACACTTTAAACCACAACCATAACAGAGTACACAATCAATAAATACTTGCTGACCGACTGAATGAATTTGTTACTCTTTCTTAACAAATAATATACACATGCATACATACATATATGGGTTTCCCAGATGGCTCGGTGGAAGGCAGGAGACATAGGAGACAAGGATTCCATCCTTGGGTTGGGAAGATCCCCTGGAGAAGGAAATGGCAACCCACTCCAG